TGTTATTATTCAAAAATAAATGTACAGAGTTTCTACAGGTATTTTAATAAGTTTACATCAGCGATATATTTCATATTTTTGACATTTCTTCTTACTTCTTGATACAATAGCAAACTCCATCCTTGCAGCGGCCTCCAGCTTTGCCTATGGAGATACAATGTATAGCGCAAATACCATCCCCCAAATTGCAACTGAGTTTTACTTGTCCATCAGCGGGTGCCATCACTTCGGCGCCATACTGTTCCAGAGACTCTTGTTCCTCTTCTGGAATTTAAACATCGTCTTTAAGCATTCTGTCTGCTTCGTATAATAATAACGAATCGCAGTAATTCCCAAACTAATCGGGGTCAACGATTCGATATTGAGAAAGATAAAGATGCTGCAGCATTTAACAGCTAAACAAATCCGTTTTGTTCTCCCATTTTTATTTACTGATTTCATTCGTTATTTCTCGAATATATACAGCCGTCACAGAGAAATTTTTGAAGGAAAAAGGATTATATCTAGCAAATAGTATTCGAAGGAAATATCTGTAGGAAAAGGAAAATGTCGTTTCGCAGGAAAACGAAAATTTATTTTTCTATATATAACGTTGTAACTTTATATTTACTCGTATATTAAAATAAGTGTAAATTTCCGAAAATTAGCTAGTGATAAGGGACGCGTTGAAAAAGTAATGAATTTGAAATTTATTAAAATTAACATTTTCACTTTTTCCGTAGACCCTTCATTGACTAAATGGCGAGTATGTTTCTTAATCAAACAACTAAATTGTTAGTTTTAATTAAATAAGAAGAACGAAATTTCTGAAGATACTTTGCAAATATTAAACCGATGTTCAAGAATTTGTGAAATATATGCAGACAAGAAGTAGTCAGAGCGTGAAATATATATTTATTTCAAGTATAGTTAGATGAAACTATCCTTTACCTAAGCTTCACTTCATTAAAGAAATCTATTCATAAAATTTATTCATAAAAATATGAATTTGCAGGAATATCTACAGTCTAACTATTATTAATTCAAACGGAGCTAATTCTGGAATATCATAAAAATCAGAAGAATGAAAGATATTAAAAAATAGGAAATTGAAAAATATTTCCATTTTACAACGACTGCTACCACTGGCCAATTATAATTAGAGCCAGTGAAAATTGAAATTCTATTGAAAAATTATAAAATTTATAATTAAATTGCCACACTGGCAAATATTGCCCAAGTATTCATTTATCTATTAGAAATCGAGCAACAACTTATCATAATATTACATATGTTTCAATTCCTTGAAATTTCATGAAATTGCGAAGACGGTGATGATGATGATGATGGAAGAATATTAAACCTATTTTCACAACTCGAATTTCGAAAACGTAGAAATAAAATAAGCCAAGTGAAAATTAGATAATTATACAATTGCAACGACGTGAATTATTTAATTAAACGAACTTCCTTCTACTTACTCGCTGGTACTGCCATAATAGCAGCTACAGCCACGAAGAGAAGAGCGACAAGAAAGCAGTTCTTCACCATTTTGACTGAGATTTTTGTTGAAATTCAGCTCGATTATTTCGAAGTCGATGAAGAATAAACTGGCAAGTGTCTGATGAAAAAATGATGGCTCGCGTGGCTTATATACGAATCGGTGTTTATTACTTTGTCCACTTAAATGAATTATATCAGAGATAATCTGTTTATCAACGTATGAATATGTTTTTGAAATATTATATCACCTCAGATGGAAGGAAATTATCTGCGTTAATTAGAATTGGTTTTCCATGTTTTAGATTACGAATTACGTAAATTACGTAATTACAAACTGTAAAATTTATTTGTGTAATTTGAAGATATCTGATGATTCTTCCGATACTTTTCAGTGTCTCCTATTTTTCGTTATTGATAACATTATTGAATTTGTATATTTTCCATAAATGCGAAAATATCTGTAATGTATTTGTAACGTTCAATTTGCTTGAAATTTTATATACATTGAATAATTATTTTTGTTTCCATTTTTCGTTCTTTTATACAATTTTTGTTGAAGATCAGATTTTTCCTAATTTCAAAATTTGCAATACTAGAAACAAAATTACAAAATTAGGAAGTGATCACTCTAGATCTAGTCTATTGCTCTCGTAAACTCCTAACACATTTAGATGTTACGATGTCTTTTTACGAAACTTGAAATGATCTATCACGTTTTTAGCGAGTTCAATCGAAATTGATGTAATTAACATGATATCCGCTTTTGAAAATATTGTCTCACAAATCCACGACAGGATTAATGAAATTGATAGAATTACACGAAAGTGAAATGTTTTGAAATCTGCGAGGAACCATGTTGCAAACATGAACGTGTACAAACTATTTGAAACTACTTGAATATTCATCCATGAAATTTATTAAATTATTAAAAATTATTAAATGTAAGTACCGTTCACAATGAACTCTTCAACACCTGAATGATTTAATACGGAGCGCAATTACAAGAATACGAATATCAAAAATTTTAAGCAATTAGTGCAAAAACAAAAATACTGAGACAATAAAATGAAAATTAATTCATATTAAATTCATTTTTCCACGGTGTTTCTTA